TGAGACCCAAGCTCCTTTCAGCTGGTTGCTGTGCTATCTCTTAGTCCTAGATGATGGCTTGAGCTCCAGTCATTCTGCCCTTATGGTCTAGGGAAGAGAAAGGAGAAAGACACAAAGAATGGCCCTGGAACTCTCTGGTAATCCAGTGTTTAAGACTCTGAGCTCTCACTGCCGAGGGCCCGGATTCAATCCCTGGTTAGGGAACTAAGATGTCACAAGCTGCACAGTGCAGCCAAAAATAAATAAATAGAAAAAAAAAATAAAATGGCCCAACCTGCCGTCCTTGAAAGACGCCTTCTGGAAGTCGTCCATGCTTTAGCTTATATCTCTTATATTGCCAGAACTGAGTTATATAGCTATCCCTAACTGAAGAGGCTTCTGGGAAATGTCTTAATTCTGGACAGCCATGTGCACAGCTAAGAATCAGAGGTGCTGTTACACACTAAGGAAGAAGGAAAGAATGGATGTTGGAGGACAGTAGATGTGCCATGACCCTAATCCATGAGGTGCTTTGAGGGGGCATTTCCCGCTAATGGGGACATAGTTCTATCAAGGTGGCCTGCTCCGTTTGTGGACAGCCCAAACATGCCCCTCTGTGACTTATACCTGCTGGTCCTTGCTCTGCCGTCTGACCCTTTTCTACACCATTGTGTTTAAATGGTTGGAAGACAACACTGGCACCCAAGTCTTTGGTCTGATCATCCTTAACTTCTATCTTTCTCTCATAAGTTCCAGACCTCAGCGCCCTGGTGTGCAGCTGGGGCTGGTCAGTATCCTCCTTAAAATGTGATGCTCTAAGCTGGGCCCAGTGTCCCAGATGTTGTATGACCAGTACAGGATATAATTTGGGCTCTTGGCACCCCCATTTCAACACCCTACGTCTGTTAAGGTCCCCAGATTGAGAGAGAATGTGCCTGGCCCAATGGGCTTGTCCTCTAACCTCACACTCACCCTGGTGCTAAAGAGCGCACACTCTGTAATCTGCTCCTCTTCCAGACTGACCCCAAAGCAGGACTTTACAAGCATCTATGCCAATTGCCATCTTGCTCTTGCGGGCCCTTCATTTAATATCTTGACTGTCAGCTGGTGGATCTGTTTTCCCTTCCGACTTCTGTGAGCATCAGGGGCCATGCCCTCTTCATCTTCCATGTGCCCCATGCAGCTGTTTATTTTTTGTCTTCCTTCGGGTAAATTTATTTCCCTAAGTAAGGTGCCAGATCTCTCAGAGCAATGGAAACCCACACCCTGGATTCAGAGTATGTCACAGATTGGGCTCCTGAGAAGTAGACTCGGAGGCAGAGGTTAGCATGCAGTGGGTGTTCTAGGAGAGCTCCAGGATCGGAGTCTGCTAAAGGGAAGGAAGGGGGATCGGGAAGAGGGAGGGGTCAGGCTGCAGTGGGGCTCAGTGAGCTGCCGCAGCCTCTCACAGGGAGTTCTGATGCTAGGATGATCCTTCAGGGTTGACTCAAGCAGGGACAGGAGGGTCAGATCTTTATATCCACATGACAATCAGCCATCGGATGTGGGCAGGTCACCCCCACTTCAGCCAGGCAGTCTCCACAGGGGTTGGCCGCTCAGGCCTTCTGCCTGCAGCACACTCAGCAACTGGAAAAATACGCCCTTTATTCCTGAAGTGGGGGTCTGAACAGTGCCTCATGGAGTCTGCTACAGAGTGGAAGACCTGGGGGCTCTAAGTTGCCACTAACCAGCTGGGTCAGCTGGGGCCAGTCCATTCACCTCACTGAGCCTCAGTTTCTCCTCTTGTACAAAATGATGTCTGGGGAGTCACCAGGTGCGATGGGCTGAGAGTGATCGGAGTTGGTAGGAGCTCTGTTCAAAGCCTGATCTGAATCCAGAGGCGATCCTCAGGTCCCACGTAAATCCCTGACCTTATCTTTGTTGCTGTGGACATTATCAGAGGGTCAGGGAATCACTTGGGTCCCAGGCCAGGGATGGGCATCTAGGTGAGAAGGGGGCTACTTTAAGGAACAGCTGGCAGGGGCCCCTGGGGAGCTCTACTATTTGGAATGATTTTCCTCAGAGTCCTGGAGAGCACTGGTAGGGGGGTGGGCAAAAGCCACACAGTGGTTGTCAGAGACTGAATGTTTGTGTGCCCCCCACCCCACATGTGTGCCCTAACCCCCAGTGTGATTGTATTAGGAGGATAGGCCTTTGGGAGCTGATTAGATTTAGATGAGTCCTGAGGGTGAAGCCCCAGCGATGGGATTAGTGGCTTTATAAGAAGAGGAGGAGACACCAGAGCTTCCTCCGTCTGCCTTGTGAGGCTACTGTGAGAGCAGGACCATCTGCAACCAGGAAGTGGACCCTCACCAAGAACCAAATCTGTTGGCACCTGGATCTTGGACTGCCCAGCCTCCAGAACCGTGAGAACTAAATGTCTGGTTTTTAAGCCACACAGCAGTATACAGTATTTTGCCACAGCAACCTACACTGAGTAGGACAGTGGTAGTGGGTCGGGGGGGGCGACGGCTGAGAAAGCCTGGGGAGTCACTGCTGATAGGAGAGTCAGGAGACCTGGGTCTCAGCGCTGGGTCCACTACTGACTGGCTGTGGGACCTGGGGCGTGTCCCTGAGCTGCTCTGGACTCCAGTGACCTCACTGGAGAGTGAAAGGTGGAGTGTGAGTCTCTGAGGTCATATCTGACTTGATGGCCCCATCCTTCTAGAGATGAAGTACATCCTTTGCACCTCCGTCCTGGGGCTACGATGGGTCGGGGGAGAGGCTGGGAGCCAGGGGAGCTAAGCTTCCTCCTCTCCTCCTTCATGTTGGCCCTGCTGTCCCTACAGAAGCCACTGCAGGCCCCTCAGGAAGCCTGCCCTTGGGTGGAGGGGAATGGAGTGAGGTTGGAAGGTGCTGTGGGCAGTGAGAAGACTGCAGGGCCAGGAAAGGGCAGTCACAGCATCCCCTCAGCACTGTCCTTCTGGGCTGGTGGCAGTCTCTGGGTGAGCTTTGGATCTGATAGTTTCTGGGTGAATTGATTAAAGTTAAGGATATTAATAATAAAAGAATGTAAACTAGATTTTCTCAGTGACACGGGTCTCATGACTACGTGGTATGTGCTCTACGCACAGCTCGTGTGTGTGTGTGTGTGTGTGTGTGTGTGTGTGTGTGTTTGTGGGGAGGGGGGAATGTCTGTCATGTTTGGAAAAATGCCACCTTTTCCCTTTTCTCAGTTTCCTTTTGACCCCTGAGAAAGATTTTCGGTTGTATTTATCACCACAAGCTACCAAGCCTTGGAGCATGAGAACCCAGGTGAGGAAGTGGAGCCAGCCTTTGCTCAGTCCTGTGGGTGGTTGGAAGGTACCCGGGCACAGGGTGAGGGAGGAGGCCTTCTTTGCTCTCCCCTATCTAGCCCATCTGACCTTTCCCTCCTCTCTGAGAAGCTGCATGTGGGCTTGAGTGGAGGCCAGGGGACGGATGGGATGCTCTTAGGGGGGCATCTAGCTCAAGACTTCCAGGCCAGGTTGGTCCTGGGATCTCTATGGGGACCATACCACAAGCCCAGCTGCCCCTGTCCCTGAAGGCCTGTGCATGTCACCTGCCTCAGGCCTCCAGGCTCCCAGATCTGAGGGTCTCTGACCAGTGGACTCACCCCTTGTTCTCACACCAGTCCTGGGAGGCAGGAAAGGGCAAGCAGAGGAAGTTCTTCTTTCTGGAATGACCTCCCAGCTCAAGAGAGGACTAGTGACTTGCCCAAAGTGACACAGCAAGTTAGAGAAAGAGTCCTAGTCAATCAAGTGACCCTACATCTAGAAATAGAGACATTGTGTCAATATTTGCTCTATCTTGCTGGGAGAGGGGAGGGGCTGGAAAAATTCTTTTTGGCTGGTCAGGTAGTCCTGTGGGGCAGAATATTCCTTGTGGTTGTTCCCATGGTCACCTAAGAAGTGCCTGCTTTGCCCTTTCCCCCTCTTCCCCCCAAATCTGCCCTGGGAGCTGGTGGAGGGAGGGAGCAGAATCCAGGAAGGAGGGAGGGAGAAGCCAGGATGGAGAAGGCAGAAAGGGAGGAAAGGGCTTGGGGACAGAGGGAGCTGGAGAATGAGCAAACAAACAATGTCCTAGAAAACAGCTTGCTTCCCCTTTCCAGGCTCCCTGCCTGCCTGCCTTCCCCACTGGAGATGGTAATTTAGAATAACGAGTCATAATTTGATTACATTCTCTTCCAGTCTCAAAGGGTAAACAAGGATCTCCCGTGGAAGGAAGGGACACGCGGCTTAGGCTGTGGCACACTCCCTGGGGCCTAGACAGGGGTTACCCCTCCTCCTGGGTACGCCTGAAACACGTATTTGAGTGGCTTCAACCCCCGCATTTTCTATCAGGGTTTACATTCTCCGTCTGTCTCCTGGCCCCTTCTTCCCCTCTTCCTCTTGGCCCTCCCCAGTAATGTCCTCACCCTGAAGCCTGCATACCGTGTAAATATTTAAACCCATCTATTATTTCCTGTTTATTAGCAGTGTAAATGCTGAGTTCATTTATTGTGCATCTGTCTCCCTGTACCATCTCAGAAGGAAAGGCCTGAAGGCAGGGCCTGTGTCCACCCTTCCCTGGAACAGCCTTGCTCAGGCCTGTGGTCAGCTGTATCACCAATTCTGGCTGTGGTTTCACTTTCTCCACATTTAAAAAACTGTGGTAAAATATGCATAATGTACAATTTCTCATCCTAACCATTTTTTAAAAAATTTATTTGGCTGCTCCGGGTCTTACTTGCGGCATGCAAGATCTTCATTGCCATATGCGGGATCTAGTTCTCTGACCAGGGATCGAACCAGGGCCCCCTGCATTGGGAGCACGAAGTCTTAACCACTGGACCACCAGGGGAGTCCCCATCCTAACCATTTTTTAAGTGTACAGCTCAGCTGTGTAAAATACATTCGTAATGTGCAACTTTCACCACCATCCTTCCCAGAACTGTCTTCGTCTTGTAAAGCTGAAACTCTGTACGCATCAAACACTAACTGCCCATCCCCCTCTCTCCCCAGCCCCTGGCAGCCACCATTCTACTTTCTGTCTCTCTGATGTTGACTTCAAGTACCTCATGTAAGTGGAATCATACAACATTTGTCTTATTTCACTTAGTATAACGTCCTCAATGTGCATCCGTATTGTAGCATATTGCAGAATTTTCTTCCTTTTTAAGGCTGAATGATATTCCGTTGTATGTATAGACCACATTTTGCTTAGCCATTCTTCTATCGACGGACACTTGGGTTACTTCCAAGTAACCCAAGGTGCTCTTGTGAATAATACTGCTTTGAGCATGGGTGTACAAATTAGCTTTTATTATTTTTTTTTACAATAAAAGTTACCTATTCCTGATTGCTTACTATGTGCTCAGAACCGTGTAGACCTAATCACTTAGTTATCACAGGTACCTCCCAGGTGGCAAATATTCTCTCCACGAGGCTCTGAGAAGCCAAGTAATTTGCCCAAGGCGAGGAAAGGGGAGTGAGAGGACCAGCATCTCTGTGTGCTCCAGCCATGACATTTTATTGCATCGTGTTGATGATGGACTTGAAGAAGGAGGCCAGGGTATATTACCTGCCCTGCACCCCCCAGAAAGGGCAGACACTTTCCCTGACCCTCTGCTCAGTTTGAGAATCCATCCTCCTGTCCGTATGATTCTGTCAGGCAGGGGTCTCCCCCCGGGCTGCACATCTTTTTTTTTATTTTTTATTCAAACATAGCTCTGCCAAATAGGCTGTCCAACTGTCTACTCTATCCACTTTTAGCAACTTGAATTTTAATTAAAAAATAAAAGTTTCAATGTTATATTAAAAAAAAGAATCACGTGTGGAGATTTAAAAGCAGACGGCCCCTAGGGCCGGAGCCCAGGCATCAGTCGTTTTTATTTTTTATTATTTTTTAAAATTTTTTGGCTACACCGCAGGGCTTAGCAGGATCTTAGTTCCCCTACCAGGGATCGAACCTCGGCCCATGCTTTGAAAGTACCAAGTCCTAACTACTGGACCGCCGGGGAAGTTCCCAGGCATCAGTCGTTTTTTTTTTTTTAATTAAAAAAAAATTTTTTTATGGTATAATTGACGTATAACACTATATTAGTTTCGGGTGTACAACATAATGATTTGATATTTGTATACATTGTGAAATGATCGCCGCAATATGCCTAGTTAACATCCATCTCCACAGATAGTTACAAAAATTTTTTTTCTTGTAATGAAGACTTTTAAGATCTGTTCTCTTAGCAACTTTCAAATACCTAGGCATCAGTATTTTAAAACCGCCCCCCCCCCCACATGCTTCTTGGTGCTCCCAGGGTTGAGAAGCACTGGGTTAGAAGATAGGAGAGGAAGGGGACAGAAGTATTGACACCCTCCCCCCACCATTCAGCCTCTTTGTCTTCCCCTGCGGCCCCGCCCACCCACCCAAGTCCAATGGCTCAGAACCCCTGAGATGCCTCCTCCTCTGCCTCCAGAAATTCTGTTTAGTGTGTGTGTGCCTCACAGACAGGATAGCCTGGATACAGGGCCCTGCAGGGCCCCAGATGGACCTATAAAGCCCATCCAGACCCCAGAATGAAAACAGTTGCTGACACTCTGCAGGCTGCTGGCATTTTTGTCACCTCCCATGGTGGGTGGGGGAGAGGGTGGTGAAGTGGAGGGCAGGGGTCAGTACATCATTAGAAGGGTGGGGAATGGAGGGAGTGGGGAGTACGGGGCCCCACAGGGCAGGGCCAGGGAAGTCATCATCCATTCCTGCCCCCAGCCCTTTCACCATGGCTGTAGCACATCTCCCTTCGGTGTCCCTGCAGCAAGACCCACCTGTCCCCCCAGTCTCCCTGAGCTCCTGTTAAATCCAGGGTGGTGTCCGGGGCCCGGAGAATTTCTGGGTTGGGCTCTGCCCTAAGGTGTCCAGCCTCAGGGGCTGCTTGGTGGGGGCATATTGGGGTGAGGGGGATCTGTCAGCCTGTCCTGGATTTCTTCTTTTGAGCCAAGAACCCCAAGGTCCATGTGGGAGTAGCAGTTGGCCAGCTCAGTTCCCACAACAACGTGGAGGATGGGGGCAGGGGCACAGCAGAAGGAGGGCTGCCTTGGGCACTAGAACACTTGGGTCCGGCCACTGCCATGCTTCATGACCTTGGGCAGTCACTTCTCTTCCCTGGGTTTCAGCATCTCCATCTGCATTATAAAGGGGTTGGCCCAGATCCTTGGTTCTCAAACTCACTGCACATTGGAATCCTTTGGGGGAGGCTTGAAAACTA